AGAAAAGAAAATCACTGAACAAACCACAAAAAAAATGAGAAAAAGGATAATCAACTTTAGCTTAGAGCTTACCTTCAGGAAAAATTAAAATTTTGTTCAAGATTTTGAACATATACAAATATATTTAAAATTGGTTGAATCTTAATGTAGGCTGAAATTCATCATACCTCAAAAAACTAATCTCTGCAACCAGTGATGATCGAGAAAGAAATGTAAGCTTAGCAACAATAAATTAGCCATTAAAAAGAGCAGCTAGCTACACAAACTCTATCACAAACATATTCATTTCAAATTTTGTTTGTGTCAGGCCACTCATCCATCTAAGCATTCATTTTAGCAACACATAACTTTTTTTTATGCTTCTCTTTGAAAGGACAACATTTTGCGCCATAGAACATTGTAATTCTCACCACAATCTTAAAAATATTTTCTTTAAGTTCAAGTAGTGATTTTTATAACATAGTAGGTCAGATGCATTCCTCTACTTCAACCACCCAACTTGAATTCTACTAATGCATCCCCATCTATATACCATCACTTTGAACAAGAGACCTGAAATATCTAAAACATTCACACCTTTGAATGATTTGAACACCCATAGTCACAACTCTGTCACTAGAGCTACTACTACTAAAATTACATTTACTTCTAGATCAACTCAAAAGAAGACCTTTAGACTCCAAGTCGATCTCAATAATTTAATTTTTTCGAAAGCTTTTCACTAGTTTTATGCATAAGAAGGATATTACTGGCAAAAAGACATACATAACTATGGTACATCCTCTTATAAATGTCCAGTATGAACATCCATAACTAATGGGTTGTTTGATAACAAATTTATTTTACGTTATTAGCATTTAGTAAATCTGAATTTACAAAATCATGAATGAAAAAAATATCTGACAATGATGTCCTCTAAATCAGATGAATCCATCAAAACCATTTGGGTTCTTAAATCCACCGTGATCCCAATTACTCTCACCGTAAATCCTATAAATCCTGTAAATCCACTGATTCGTGAGATTTAAGATTTACAAGGTTTATGATCAAAATTTGTGAAATATGGATTTATCAAATCCACTAATTCATCCTCTCTAAAATGACAGTCTGACAAGATTTAGCTTAAAGTTCACTCTAAATTCATTATCGGACAACTCCTAAAACAAAAAAAATATGGGCTTATAACTGATCCCTGATGTAATCCAACTGAAATAAGAAAATATTTGGTTAATCCTCCTCCTAGTTGCAAAAATATTAATCCTAAACACTTTCTACCAAATAAATGTGAAAAAAAATAAATTTTCATACATTGCATTCAATACCTAGACTACCATACATGTGAGCCATTAACTATTAGAGGTGGAGCATCGATGGGAGAGAAGGAAAGCAGTGGCCAGCCGCTAGAGCGGTGAGATCACTGGAACTAGGTCACCGTGAGAGGGAAGGATTAGAGCACCGAGGTGAGATTGAGAGGGAGAGTTAGGGCAGGACAAGACGGGATGCAATTTTAGCAGTTTTAAGGATTAGTTCTGATGGCTTATAAATGACTTTTAAGCCATCATTAATTAACATTACTACTGACATAAATTTACATCACTTATTAAGAAAACTCATCGTTTAACACTCCGTCGAATGACATGTTCATAAATAACTGATAAAATATGGTGCAAGTCTACATTGATGGTATCATGCTTTAGTAATAATACAAACCATTAGGAATAATTTACTATTGCTATGTGAAGACATCATATAGTTATGTCGTCATAAAAAGCCGAGCTAAAATGTATTATGTCCTCAGAAAATATAGCATTTTTTTTTATGTATATATAGGTCATCATTTTTACCGTCAGTTTTAGCACTTCTTTTGTTGTGTTTCATTCTTATTTATTTATTTTGCTTTTTGTTAACTTGCATTCCATTAATCATAATTTCTCTTTTTAAAAAATGAAAATAATAGTACATGATTTTTAGTATGGATGGAATTATGTTTCATTAGCATTGATAGTCATGAAAAAAACTACTAAATAAAAATTAAGCAACTAAATAAATAGAATTCAAACTTTAAAGAACTAAAACAACTAAATCACATTTATAGATTTGTGAGGATAGCTTATTTAGGGGGATCACGCCCTCGCATTCTCATATGATCCTATATCACAAATTGGACATCATGAATTTCATCTTTAGTTTATACCAAATTCCTTACAATCATCCTAATATTTTATTACCTAAGTAAATGTTATAATAGTATGAGTTTGTAGGGATTACCTAGCAATCTACAAGTAGAAAATAGATTTACAATGCTTTGAATCAATTAGTAGAAGTCATATGGGTGTTCCTTTAAGAACCCTTTATTTCTCTAGTCTTGGCTTTGATAAAAATGTTAATATGTCTAAAGATCTTTAAAGGGGAATGATAATTTTGTGCATACGATAATGAAAAGTAAAATAGAGGGGTCTTGTTGGTGTTGTTAGGGTCTCATGGTTTAAGGGATGTGGTAGAACTATTTGGTGGTTGTAAGAGGTGGTAGGCTAAGTAATGACTGGTTAATATTTTTTCCAATAAAAGAGATTGGATTTTGTTTTTATGGTTGAGGTTGAGATTCAGAAATGTTAATGAATAATAGTATAAAACTATATGATTTGCATGAGCTTATGGACAATGATGATGGTGATTAGGATTTATTTTTTGAAGTGAGTCACATAGTCTTCATTAGTGAGGATTCATTTAACATAGGAGTTCATTGTCTTAAGGAAATTTCAAGGTAATGAGAAAAGATATTGGAGATTAAATTAAAAATAAATTAAGTGCAAGTAATATTTAAAAAAATATTACATCATACATCTCATAGAGTATTTATAGTGCATTTTATTTGTCAAGTTGTTATCCAATAAATGAAGAAAAATTTTTCATTCAAATTTAGCAAGGTTCAATTCCATACTTTAACATATATAGTTTCTCAATTATAACAAAAATTAAATATTGAAAATTAAAATTATTCATGGTGTATTGATTTAATATTCAAGGAGGTTAATGGTTTCAAAGAAGAGGGGCTAATAGTTTTATTTGAATAGTGATTTCTTAAATTATGAATTGATGCTACTTAGATCACCATTCATGAATACAGTTAAATGGTTGGAAAAAAAATGATATTTAAGAAAGAAGTTGAAAATTAAATGTTATTTGCTTGAAGGTTGAATGACCAATAATTCGTGTATAACTAACCTTGCATATAATGTAAGCCACTTCTACAAAAGGCTAATAAATATGGATTTCAATAATGGCTAAAGATTCATTACAATTTCAATAATTTATTGATAGAACATTTGATTATAGTATGGTGATTATATAGTATTGATAATTAAATTCATTATTAATTATTATTAAAAAAATTTTAAATGGTAAGATCAAATGGCAATATGTGTGATTTGAAACTACAAATTCATGGTGGGAAACTATACTTTCAACAACTATATCACAAATAAATGTGCTACCATTGATAAATAATTCATCAATAATCCATCAACTCAGTTTGTACATCATCATTTCATCTTTTTTGCATTCTCTCTCTTGTTGCTCCTTTATTTCGTATTCTTCCTTTGATCCTAAATGTTGCAAGCTATTATTTCCACTATCATCTAACCCCATCAACCCCAAGATATAAATCTTTCATCCTTTTTTCCATAAAACTAAATATCTTTTTAAGAATTAAATTTATAAGTGTAATTATTTAAGCTTGGCAAAGGATCAATAAGCTAACATGTGGGTAAAGTGGTTTTCTTACTAGTAATAAAGTTAAGACATACAATATGACAAAATTTAAGCAATATTTACTTGATGTTACACAACTCTAATTTCAATGGAAATTATTTTAAAAATATGAATTTAATAAGGAAGAATAAGTGAAATTTCTATTCATCCATTATTAAAAGTAATGCTATTTTTTAAAGAATTTTTTTAACTACCTTGAAAATATTAATAACCACTTATGTTATAATCAACATAATATTAAATTATCCATAGAAATATGCGCTGTCAATAATCTGAAAATACCATAGAAATAACCTAAAAATACCCAAGAAATAAGCTGAAAATATCATAGAAATAATCTGAAAATAACCTGACAGTAATCTGAAAACACCCTAACAATAAGCTGAAAAAACCTACCAAATAACCTAGAAATAACCTGAAAATATCTTAGCAATAATATGAAAATACTTTAGAAATGCTTGAAAATTTCTCCCAAATAACATGAAAATAACCTAGCAATAACTTAAAAATACCCAAGCAATAAGCTGAAAAAATCTCCCAAATATTTCTAACAAATGTCCACGGCGATGATTTTAATTGCTATCAAATATTTCAGACATGTAACGCTTAAAATCATCGCCCTAGATTGGAGCAACCGTCATAGACGACATTTTTAAAATCGTAGTTATAGATCCATGTCAAACCTCCAAAAAAAAAAAAACAAAACAAAACAAAATTAAGGGAAGGTGAAAAGTTTGGGGATATATAAATGAGAAATGTCCAATAGAGCAAGCCTTAAAGATCCACTATTTTCCAATAAAAAATTATTTTATTTTCAAATATTTTCCAGATTAAAAAACCAATTTTTTTACGACTCTACGGTTGGTCTCTTAACCCACACCGGCCAGAACAGCTATACAATACTTCCAAACGCCAATCCACCGACCACATACCTCCGTTAACTCCAACAAAACAGCTGACCACCGAAAAGGCCAAGTGGAGACGAAGCGGCCCCCTCTCACTCCACATCTAAAAAAAGAGGAAATTAAATAAAATAATAAACCCTCCGCAGTCCAATCCTCACATAACATGTTGCCCCAAAATCAACACACCACCACAGCCCAAAAGTCCGCTTTTACCACACATCCGAGTATACTGCACCAGTCCACTAATCCGCGTACGCGCGTACGACCATTACTTATAAAAACCCTCCCACAATTTTCATCTTCCTCAACAAACTAAAATCAAGCATGGCCAGCCGCATTGTATTCTCAAACCACCCTTCTCTGCTTTCTTCCCGCCGCCGCCCCCACACCTCTTCCCGCCCCCTTCTTGTCACCTCCGCCGCAACATCCAACCAAAAACTCTCCACCGCCGTCGCCACAACAAGCAACATCTCTCTTAAACCCGCCAGCCAAGTCCCCCAAAACCCTTCTCCCTCCTCGCCCCCAACATGGCGCGCCATCCAGGGCTCTGACAACTGGCAAAATCTCGTCCATCCTCTCCACCCTCTCCTCACCAGCGAAATCCTCCGCTACGCAGAACTCGTCAATTCCTGCTACAAAGCCTTCGACCTCGACCCTTCCTCCAAACGCTACCTAAACTGCAAGCACGGCAAATCCACCATGCTCCGCGATGTAGGCATGCCCTCAGCCGGCTACGAATTAACCAAATATATCTACGCCACTCCCGACAGCAACATCCCCACTCAATTCGGCGAACGCTGCAGCCGTTGGATCGGCTACGTTGCAGTCTCCACAGATGAAGCTTCCTCCCGTCTCGGCCGCCGCGACATCCTCGTTTCCTTCCGCGGAACAGTCACAAACACGGAATGGATCACGAACTTAATGAGCTCCCTAACCCCGGCCCGGCTCGACCCCAATAATCCCAGACCCGATGTCAAGGTCGAGTCCGGTTTTCTCAGCCTCTACACATCAGAGGATACCACATCTCGCTTCAACAGCGGGAGTTGCCGCCAGCAGCTTCTCTCTGAGATCTCCAGGATTTTATCAAAGTACAAAAATGAAGAGGAAGTTGGCATTACATTGGCTGGCCACAGCATGGGAAGCTCCCTCGCGCTACTCCTCGGATATGATATTGCTGAGCTGGGCCTGAACTTGGCCGGGTCGGGTACAGAGGTGCCCATCACGGTTTACTCGTACGGCGGCCCGCGGGTTGGAAACTCGGCCTTCAAGGCCCGGTGTGAGGAGCTTGGAGTGAAGGTGCTGCGGGTGGCGAACGTGAACGATCCCGTGACAAAAATGCCGGGGGTTTTCTTCAACGAAGGACTGGAGCTGCCATGGATAAGCAGCAGCTCGTGTTACGCACACGTGGGAGTCGAGGTATCCTTGGATTTCTTTAAGATGAGGAACCCTGCATGCGTGCATGATCTCGACGCTTACATCGCATGGCTCAAAAGTGGTTGCAAGAGAAAAGTGAGGAAGGAAGGAGATGATGTTTTTAGTAAGGTTAGAGATTATTTGGCTTCCCAGAAAAGTGATTATTCTTGGTGGTCGGCGCTGTGGCAAAATGGAGGAAGGCATGGAGGCGAATTGGTGCAGTCGCCTAGAGTTTAGGCTTAGGGATACATATATTTGGTAGAATTAAAAGATTTAGTTAATGATTTATTAATTAATACTAATTAATGACCCGATAATCCTTGTATTTTAAAATTTTTTTTGGATTGACGGTTGTTGACATACATGCAAAGAGGTAGCTAATTATACCATTAATACTTTTTTATTCCTTTGTTTTAGGGTTTAGCCTTTAAGCAAAATAAGTAAATTAATTTCACAGATTGTATTTTCATTAATACAAGTTCATTTTGTGGTATAATTGGAAGATAATGGATTTATGAATGATAGTTCTATCAACTTTTCTGACGGTTTTTAATGTATATAACTTGTTGCAGTCATAAGATTCAGTAATTAACCATGTCGAAAATTAATGAAGAAAAAAAAAATTTCTTTGTCGTATATGACAAAATCTATTTTTTGTATGAATCAAGATGATAGTTTTACAGTTATAGTTTCTTAAGGGATATGAAAGTTGTATCGGAATTGGCTTGTGGCTTCTGCATGCCTTAAAACTTATTTTAATCAAATATATGTCATAACATTCTTTTCCATACCAAACATTACATTATTGATTCTTTAATAATCTGCACAACATTCTTCATGTGGTTTCAACATGTTTGAGCACACATTAATAACTTATATCATGTCTTAACTCATAACATTCTTTATCCATACAAACATGAACTTATTTTTCAAGAAGCTGCACGTAGAGCATATGTAACACAAATTAGGCGGAATCAGCCTGGGTGGGTGATTACCCATCATCAAATTTGAGATTTTTCTCTTTAGTTAGAAAAAATTAATGATTTTTTATCATGTAACGTTAGTATTTTTATTATTTCTATCAAAATCCTAGATGGTTTGAAATGAAAGCACTTCATCATCATAGTTATTTTTTATTTAGTATTTGAGTTCAGTAAATATGATATCAGAAGGCTATCTAAGGCTCCTTAAATTCATCTCATCAACACATACTTTCTGACTACAAGCATAAAACAAACCGATTATAAATGATCTCTTAGTTGATTTTGGACGCTTCTAGTCCAATCATTAGGAATAAACTTTGTGCTTGATTAATCATTTTCTTGATGATATATTACCAGCAAAAACCCTTTAGTTACCTACACATATATGTACATATGTATACATATATATATATATGTATATGTGTGTCTATATATATATATATATATTAGATACAGACATATAGATACTAAAGCAATATATTTAATTAATCAAAAGCTAATCAACAAATTAATGATAAGGTATACATATAAGTGCGATCTTATTATTATGTTTATTTTAAAGATGACTGATAAATAAAAAAAAAATATTATTTTTTAAATATATTTACAGATTACTGTCGTTTGCTTCAATTTTTGCTGTGCCTAATTTTATTGCTGACTGCCTTAATTTGTCAACTTTGAATCTGTGTTGACCACGAGGATACACCTCCACACGTGATGCATGTAGCTCACGTTTGCGAACAAAATCCATGTGCCACAATCATGGAAGATTTACATGCACATCGCTTAATTCCCATGTATTTACATATATAACCCATATATGTAAATACATATATGGGTTATATGACTGATGACGTATAACCCATGATTGTGTATACGTCATCATGGGTTATATATGTATTTACATATATGTATATATGTAAATACATAAATATGTATATATGTACATATGTATACATATGTACATATATACATATGTATACATGTATATATGTATACATATATACATATATACATGTATATATGTACTTTGAAAAATGTAGCAACATGCTAAAACGACTGAGTATTGACAACAGAAAAAGACGTAATCAGGGAATGATTTTTATCAGTTAGAAAGAGGGAGAATAAAATAGGATTAAATTGTTTTAATACTAGTCGATATGTCCCTATAATTAAGAAAAATAGATACATGAAATTTAATATGACAGTCCTCGTTCGCAGAATGGAGGAATATGGTTATTGTTTCACTTAACAGATATATGCATTAAGAAAAAATATTCTTATGTTCAAACTTATGCAGAAATCATTTGTGTTACAAATAGAAATATCGGAAAAGGTTGGGAGCAACCAAGTTTAATTTGATTTGTAACTCAATTTTTTATAATTCTTTTTAAAAAGATTAATGCTTCACTCTACAAGAAATTTCAAGGATAGATCGACCTACAAGTCCGATGACCCGCTGTTATCACAACCACTTCCATCACCACAGTTTTCTTCCACAATGGAGAACTTCTCAAGATTAGCCCATCCAAGAGAAGCTAACTGAGCCTTTTCCATATGGGCGAGACTGTAAAAGATCCCCTCCTAAAACTTCTCTACAAAAAGAGACTACTGCGTAGGATAAAAAGAGAGCTCAGCAAAAAACTCATCAAGCATCTTCATCGCAGCCAACTGCTCCATTAAAACTAGATTATCTTCCTCAAAGATCGTGAGCAGCAGTGACCATCAATAATCATAAATCACAACATTTTTCAACTTTTCCTCCATCTTTTCTAACCTCTACTCAAGCTCGCATTGTGCTCGACTTTCATAAAGAAGGAGGGTCTAATACTGGTTGATCATACGACACTGGCCTTTCCCAACAAGGTCTCTTCCAACTTTGGTTACCATATTAGTTTGGCCATTCTAGAATCATAGTGGAGACAGCTGAGAATTCAAAGTTCCAATCTTTGTGAAGATCAATCAAGGAAAGATTATCACCCAATTGGGCTTTACCTTAGGCGCTTTATCAATATGGGAAGCCATTTCAGCATAGATTCCTTGTATTTTCTCAAAGGTTGTTGCGGAGGAGACTCGTCCTCAAGAGTCACCCCTCTGGCACACTTTTGAAGAGATCATTCGGAGCCATTCCCTTGGTCAATAACTTAAGACTTCCCCTTGCGACGATGCTCCTCCTCGAAATGTTTTGCTCTTAAGGTTTTAATTTTTTTTTTAAATACCTATAATTTAATATATATATATATATATATATATATATAGAATTTTGAAAAGTAATATTTTAATTTTTTGAAAGTATGAGCTGAACTGATCTCACATATGCAGTAGTTTGAATAAACGAGCGCAACACCGCAAGTGATGTACCTATCCCGGGGAATAGACATATTACTTGATAGTGAAACTCGATTAAATAAATTATAGAATTTAAAATATTTCTTTTGTCTGCGAAACCTTTTATGTTGATTGACAAGTTCTCCTATTTAATATAGAATATTAGAGATTATATTATGCTAGGTTCCAAAGTTCCTAATAGAGGCAATCCCCTATAGTTAATTACATTTTAGGTGACCAAAATCGCTTAAGAATACTCTTGATTCAGATTAATGGTTTTGTCTTCAAGAATTTTAAATTTTATGTTTTCAAGGCTGGACATTAGAAATTCAAAAGGGAATGGATCAAGTAGGAACAATTATTTTTAGGAATACAAAGGAATGGAAAGTGGGAGAGGTCGATGATCCGAGAGGAGCCTTAGTGACTTCTCAAACTATTCTATTGTTTTGTTTCAATTTTGAGAAAAAAGTTATTTGATGTTTCATACTATAAGTTTTATTATTTTGGGCTTACGTTTGCATGACACGGCCATACAAATAATCTGAACGAAATGAGGTTTTATGTCGTAACGAACGACAACCTCGGAGCCTTAAGCTAGTTAAGGCCTAAATTGGACAACATGGTTATGCAAAGTTTTAAAGATGAGTTGACGATTTATGTCATACTAGACGAGCTGCCCTGAAATTCTATGACTAGTTATTTAATTCTAACAAAAGATGTGTTGTTGTAGATTCGGTTGCTCTCTTGAAGTTATTCTTCCGTACACTCTTGTCGTGTTGCCCACGATGTTAGCTTCAAGCTCCTCGTCGAAGTGGCAGCTCTAGGTTCAAGGTTTTACAGTTTATGTGACAGGTTTTGTTGTTGCTCAAGTGTTATGGGGGGTTAAAGTTGATTAGATCGACACCAGTTAGGATCTTACAATTCCCTCATTCCGGTACCACTGTTTTATTTTGAATTTATTTAGTCTAAATAAATGGTTAAACTCATTTAAACTGAGGATATCTCATTAGCAACTGGAGGTTACCTCATCTGAGGGACTCCCGCAAATTCAAAATGACATTATGTTGTTTGTTTTTTTGGAAATGTTGTTTAATGTTAAAAGAGTGTTTCTCTTAGTTTTGAAAATCGTTTGTTTTGATTTTTGAAAATTATTTCAACAAAGCATGCATAGTATATTAAAGTTGTAGTAAATTACAGATGTAAAATGACAATAAATACACTATAAATGTGTATTTTTCATCTTCTCGCTGATTCCGCTAAAATGTTAGCATTCATAATCATGTATATATTGCAAAGTAAAAAAAAGTGTTATGTGAACAAGTTTTATTGAAGCGTTAATGACTTAAGTTCAAAAGAGACCATAATTCATAACTTGGTAGGTCCTTAAAGATTATAAGGGATGATTTTCTTGCACAAAACATGATAAGTTCAATTATTCTTCAAAATATCTAAGAGATTATAAAAGTGTTCGGGGGACAAACCTGAACAACATTTAAGAATCCCTTGAACCATTTTGAGTTCACTTGAAATAATTATGTTGTTGAATATATCACCCCGAGGTTCGTTAGATTTAAGCTATGCTTAGTGTTATATCTTAATTAACCCATGAGAAAAGGGACAAGAAAGCTTGAGCTTGTGGTGTTTGAAGAGGATTAATTATGGTTCATTTTTCAATTAACACTCAAGTTTCTTTAGATTGAACTCAGTTCACTACAATGCTCAAAAGACACCAGGGGTGGATGTGCAATTTAGGAAAAGTCATATTAAGAAGATTTAATTAAAAGATTAACTTATGATTCAACCATTGTTTGGGATTTTAGATTAATGGATTATTGACTTCCTAACTTTTGTCCTAAACATTTAAATCATTTAAGTCAATTTTATCTTCCAGTGTTTAATAATATGAATAATTACATTTATACCCTTCTTTTCTAAAAATGGAGGTTAATTGGTTTCTACCTCTTACCCTCATGTTTCAATAACCTTAGAATATTGCTTAGGCTCAAATATTACCCTTTAACCCTTTAGCTCACCCTAAATTTTA